TCAAAGTGGTTAATTTGTTGGCTTAATTGCAAAAAAAGTTGTCCTTGAGTTTAAGTCAATTACAAAAGGTCCCATATATTTCTCAAGAATTACCAATCACCTTATCTTATTAAGGAGGTTTGTGTAATTAAGAAAGTTCTACTTCTACACCATACTTCAAATATGTGGAAAAAAATAAAAAATAAAAAAAAATAAAAAATCGAGATTTAGTTTCTCACTCGGGTCGGTATTTGTTAGCTGAGCTGCTCCCCCAAAAACACAGCTAGTCGGGGCAGGATTCTTTTGGTAGTAATCATTGAATGCATACGATGCATGATCCCGAACTGTGTTGGGCTCATAACAAGGCCCATTGGGCTGAATGGGCGAACAGTCAGCACCTCCATATCCGCATGCATAGTCCAGAGCCACTTGCAGGGCAGTCTCAGAGGCACCGGAGCTGGCCACGCACCACGACCCACCACCACCGCCGCCGCCGCCGCCGCCGGTGGTGGCTGGCGGGCCGGTGGTGAAAGGTGGGTTCGGGCTCGTCGGGTTCACGATTGGGATCGTGCCACCTGGCGTTGTTGGATTCACGATGGGGATTGTGCCACCTGGCGGAGTTTCTCTCTGGGAGTTTACGGCGAAAGGCGAAAGGAAAATGCAGATGATAGAGAAGATGGTGTTGTTAAGGAGACTTCGGGCTTCCATTGGTATGTAAGCTCAAGTTCTTCGTTTTTTTGAGACTAAATGGTGTTTTATTTATTGATATCAAGAAAACCAGGAATGTTGTCTGAAAGTAGAAAATTTTATAGATAAAGTGTGGAGAATCATAGGTTTCTTGCATTGAGGAGAGGGAATAGGGTGAAAGATGTGCTTCTGTGTTTTGTGGGGGGAATATGAGATGACTTGAGAAAGAGGGTTTGTTTTATTTTCATTTTATTTATTTATTTATTTATTTTCTGGGAGCTACAAATAGAAGTTTTGCATGCTGTGGAAAAAAAAGGAAGCAAAAGTGGGGATCTGTTTAGGGATCTNAAGGATAAAGAGATTGTTCTAGGTATCACATCTTAATTTGTCTAACTAAAAAGGTTACAACTTTCGTGCCCTTACTACCTGGGATCAGATTCTATTCTCTTAACAGGTAATGTAAGTTGTGATTTATGCTTCTTGTCCCATCAAAACTGAAGAGGGTTTTTTACCTGTGTTGTCCTTTAAATTAGCAGACAATTGTAAAGGTGCTTGATGGTTATTTCTGTACTCGCATCCCTCTCTTTCTTTCTTTCTTTCTTTTCATATTCGAGATGTGCAGTTGGATTCTTAAATATTTACTATTTCTAAGAAGGTAATTTTTTGTAAAAATTCAATGGCCGGAGCCTAGATATTTTTTAATCTCCCTGCAACTAACATAATATATCAAATATGATTTATGTATGAAATTAAGGGTACAGAAATTGATTAAGATGAAATATATGTACCAAAAGAGAAAATAAAATAAATTATGTATTAAAAAAAATGGATTTTCTCTCTTGATTCCAATATTCAACATTAAAAGGTGATTAGAAGTATGAACAGGTGTGTTTTTGGCTCATAATTTTCTTGAAATTATGTTAACCGATTCAACAACAACAACAACAACATAGCCTTTAGTCCCAAGCAATTCAATTCGGGGTAGGCTAGAGATGAAACCCAAGAGAAACACAATATGTTAACCGATTCTTTAAATGAAAAAACTATTGAAGAAAATAAATTCAATTTTCTTGAAATTATGTTAACTGATTCTTTAAATGAAAAAAATATTGAAGAAAATAAATTCAATGTTTTGAAACCGGAACAAATTTTTTTTTTGAAGAAAATAAATTTGTTCTTTAGATAGAAATTATGTTAACCGATGCTCCTTCATTCTTTAAATGAAAAAATAAATTATTGAAGAAAATAAATTAAATGTTTTGAAACCAGAAAATAAATTTTATGTTTTGAAACCAACTATGTTAACCGATCATCGTTCATTGTCAGAATGTCAATAACTCGGTTATTTTAAAATTTAAAAATATGTATACAATTTTCTTATTTTATTAATATACATAAAAATAAATAATTTATATACAAATTATACATATCAAAATTTTAATAATAATGTATTTCATCATAAATATTTTATCACAAATATAAATATAAATACATAATTTTTTAAATAACAAATATACTTATGATGTCATTTACATATTTTTCTTATTTTATTAATATACAAAATATAACTTTTTAAACCTAAACACATAATTTTTTAAATAACAAATATACTTATTGTGCCATGGTCGACTCAAGTTGTGTTGACGGACCAAATCCATTGTCCCGATTAAAAAAATAGATTTTTCCCTGACCAAAACACAACTATTGATACTTCAAATCACCTTTTCTCCATTAGCATAAGAAAACAATTTTCACCTTTTCTATCTAATGAAAACAATTTTTAAAAAATTATGGAAAATAAACACAATGCTCCTAATCACCTTTTCTATCCATTAACATCCACTTACATATTACTCGTTTTCTGCATACATCTTTTTGTTTGTATCTTAAGAAAATAAGTAACCAAATTTTATATATAGAAATTGTTTACTATTATTTTGTATTTTTATATATTATACTATTTATCATTATAGCTTCTGACTATATAAGAAATATACCTATTAACATTTCAAAATTGTAAAACTGGACATATATATATTACATAGTGTGCATATTTGATATTAAGTTCAATCCAACCACTGTTGTTCCTACAAACATTTTGGAGTAATCTATTTAATAAGCATAGAATATTCTCAAAAAAGTTGTCATATGTAAAATAATATGCTTTTTCTAAAAACTTTTTTATGCTAAAATAAGAAAAATAAAATTTGTGAATAGAGAGGTTACAAAATTTACTATTAAAAGTAGTTCTAAATATTTGAAATTAATAAATGGATATTATAAACACACCTCATTAATCACAAAACAACTATATTTTTGCTTATATAATAAATATATGTTGAATTTTTTTAATTAAATATGAAATAATAATGAGGTAGAGTGAAGCTGATATAAAAGTGGATATTCCAGTAGTATTTTTTTTTATTTTGAGAATAAGTATAACATTTTTTGCTATATAACCAACGATGACACAAGCTGTTCACAACTATCCCTAAAATGATTTAATTAAGAGAAATGCTATAGGTACATAATATTGTAAATAGGAGTGTACATAACACTCACATTGAGTGGGACCGATCAAAAATAAAAAAATCAAGTAGACCTCACTCCATGTGAATGTGATGTACACATCTATATACATTCATTATATACTTGTAGTATTTTGTTTAATTATACTGTGTGATAAAATAAATATAATCTATATATCAAATCCTAGCTCTATGTTGGTTTCGTAAAAAAAATATTACTTATTGTGACAGTTGTTGGATTTTCAATTTGATAATATATCATTTTATATTCTCAGGTATTGTCTTCCATAAATAATTGGATCACCCCTTAACGTCATGTTAGTTTGGACTTCCAATTTTACAAAATCACCACTCAAAATGTTTGTTATATAAAATAAAAACTCAAGCGAGGACTCATCACTCATGCTTGGAGAGGAAAACACAAAACATTGAAATTACTTAGAAATAAATTAAAAAAGAAAAAAAAAAGTTTCATATTCAGCCATAATTTCATCCCCAATTCCAATTTCATCGATCCCAATTGAATTTGAAACATTAAAACAGGTTCTGTCAAATGTAAAAGTCTGCAAACTAACGTAGTAAACTCCAGGAGAGAAAGAAAAACACAAGGAGAGATTCTACATGTAGCTGTGCTAACTCCAAACAGTTGTCTTTTTATTTTTTTTTTCCATTTACTTCCTTTGGCCTTCCTGAACTTCCCAAAATTACCTAAAAGCTGGAAACTGACAATACGAGCTACATAAGCTTAGCAAAATGAAATTTCCTAAGTAAGAATTTCCTACTGAAGCGTTATTTGCTGTACACAACATCAAACTGAATGCAGTTCTGAGCATACAATAGTTGTACAACTCTCGGTATCTAAAAACACAAAATAACGTTAAATATAAAAATAAAAAAATAAAAATATATCAGCGTACCCGAGTCACGTAGACTATGTACCCAAAATTGTCAACAAGATTTCCAATGTCTGTGCGTCCACTCTCTGCAGATTTTCTGTTTTTGTTCATGCTAGCATATGTCTACATGACATAAGGGGAATAAATATTATAAAATCAGAGGGGAAAATATCAAGTATTCAAGATTCAGTACAGATCCCAGAAAATATATCTAGACTCTAGTAGCAAAATTGTTTCATGTAACCGTGTACTCAAATCAGGGGGCAAAATATAAAGTATTGAAAATTCAGTACAGGGCATAAATCAATTATTTATATATGTTTGAAGATTCTAAGATAACTGATTTCTAGTTAAACCCTCTGTTATCAGGATTCCCCCACACATTAATTAATATTTTTCTCCATACTTTGTCAACTTCAAAGTATAATACAACTCTTGTTAACTCTCATACAACTATCTCCTTTCCAATTATGTATGCTTTAAACTACTGAAAGCTTCTCAAGAAATAGCCAAAATACCCCCACGAAATCGCATTCACTCATCTTAGACTATTCTACCAGCAAAAACCTCATTCAGTGTGTCTGTTTTTTTATATAATCCTAAGTTGATATCTTAGCTCTAATTTAAAGGTAAAAACCTCATTCACTCATGTTAGCTCTGATTTTCAGCAAAAAACCTCATTTTCTCATCTTACCTCTGATTTTCACCTCATAAGCCTAAGTTGATATCTTGCATTGAGGCCTACGTTGGTGACTTTAACCGAAGTCACACAAATTCAGCTTCTTGTAATGCATATAAGAGTGGCCACAGCTGCAAATAACAAATTGCCTCTCAAAGCCACTCCTCAATACCATAACCATCCGTCCCGTCACTCATATGACTTGAAAAACAAAAGAAACCAAATTACGTGGATTATCACTCCCTATAACAACTCCTCTGTCAGCAACAGATTCTTAAAACTCACGTCGACCATAATACACACAGAATACCTCAACGAAGCACAGAAAACAGAGAAAAGGGTAATGAAAGCCAACAAGGAAAAAGGGAAAACAACAAACACATAAGTCTCGGCCGCCGTAAATCACAGGCATAAAGCAACAATATGAAATCAACTTTCGAAAACAGGAATTCGACAACGAATCACATTTTAGATCAAAAAAATTCATTTCAAACCGCAGGCATAAGATCAACAAAATCACATTTTGGTGAAAAAATAATTCGAGAAGCAAAACTGCAGAAGTTCCCTATCAGCTGACACAAAAAAACCTTTTGCAGAAGTTCCCTATCAGCTGACACAAAAAAACCTTCACAAAACCTGCCAATTTTTTTCAACAAAATCCAAATTTTACTCTTGCTCGAAAGGCAGACGGAAAACGAATCGAATGTGTACATTGGCTTTAGATTCTGGCATGTCAAACACTAAGAACTACTCTTTCTTCAGTCCGAAGCTAAGAGACTAATATGAGCACAAATATATAAGTACTCCCTTAGTATGTACTTGAAAGTTGAAACTGCACAAAGCATAACTATTGGTTCTACGTCATCCAAAAATCACAATGAATAGAGGAGTCAGTTGAAATGGCAGCAGAATTCGGATTAATGGTGGAAAGCAATGTCACTATCAAAATATAGACTTGTCTGGTTGGTGCCCCCTTGTTTTGTTCGATAATTAAAGTTTCACAACTCAAAATTCAAACAACAGTGTATAAATTGAACAACCAAATCAAGCATTCACTGTTAAAGTACAAATTTTAAAATTTATAGGTCAAAATAGCTCCAAGGGATAAATTCAAACCTGCTTTTTATGAGGTTTGAGGGCAAACCCAGCTCTTTTCCGGCTGACTTCCGGCTCCGGCAGAATTGGCTAGCTACAACACCGAAACGAGATTTGTCGCTTGACAAGGATAAGGTTAACGGCTGGGTACTGCTGAAAGAATGGCTTTCTGCTTTTCTCGTATGCCATTCACCGATTTGTAAAGGAAAAAATGAACGATTGGATCAGATTTTGAATAACAAAAATAGGAAAAGAAGAGGAATTTGAACTAAGAACGATCGAGTATGAAAATTTTGGTGAAAAAATTTTTTTCAGAAAAACGCCGAAGGAAGAACGATCGATTTGGGGAAAAAAATTTAAAAAAAAAAAAATTTGGACCATTTCTCGATTTATGCGTGTCATCCTTGCGCAGGGGCCATGCTAATCTTCTCTGTATCGTTCCAATTTTATCAGATGTCTCCGAAGAGACGGTCAGTAGGTTGAAGGTAACACAATATATAGCAGTGATATTTTGCTTTGTTTATCAATGTGGGATAAATATGAGCGTCTTTGTGTTGGGGAGTTATATTTGGGCCGTTTTGTCAATCGGCCCAATATAATCCAATATAAGGAGTCTCTCTTTTTCTTCTTAGAATTTATTAGTTTTATTAATTCTTTTCATTTAAATTACTATGCTCGAAGTTAATGTAATTAAACAAAATGGAATATAATATTAAAAAGGTATATATAGTTACCCATGTACTATTTAATTTATTTTTTTTATATATAAGTAAATTTTATTTTGTAGTAATTTTGTTTTGATCAGTTGACCAAAATATTTTTGAAAAAATTTATTATTTGCTTTTAGAAATATTTTAATTACATCTTTCTTTTTTCATTTTCATATATATAATATGATTTAATATGCGACACACACAAAGAGAGATAGAATATGGAATATCATAATTTTCAGTTGCTAAATAATTTAATTTACCTATTTTTATCCAAACAATATACTAATAATATTTTCATTTTTGTAACAATTGGATATATTTAATAGACACTTGATTTTAATGACAAATTAATATCCTTCATTTAATCCATCTATCGAAATTCATTACTATTTTTATTTTATCAGTATTTCTATATGTGTCTAATAAGCTTTTAATGATGATTTATATCTGTATACTATAGAGTTAAAATATAATATTATCAAAATTGAAATAATATTTTTATTTAAGATTTATTTTCATAAAATATAGATTTAAAATATAATATTATCAAAATTGAAATAATATTTTTATTTATTCATTCAATTATTTGATAAACTTACTTAGAAAGTATAAGCCAACCTTTAATAAATAGGGCCGGGATTTTTAAGATACAAACCAACTTTTAATAAACATGTATCTAGAATTAATATATGCTAGTACGACACTCATGTACTACACGGGAGTTTTAAAAAAAAATCATAATAAAAATGAATCTATAAAATTAGTTATTTTCTTATTGTGAAATGATAAGAATAAACATTCAATAAATAATAAGTAACTAATATAATGATAACTATTTAAAATAACATGCGTTTTTATCCTAAAGTTGTAAAAAATGATACGCATCACTATGATTGTAAAATTCATTTTCCTATTTGTTTTTATTTTCTCTATCGTCGTTTCATTTCTTATTTCATATATGGATAACTATATAAAAATATTATATTTTTGTTATATCTTTATTTTGTGTGAATGAAAATGGTTAACCCAAATATATACAATCAATTTGATTGTAAAGTCTGTAACACTTGCAAAAATATTCTTTAATTACATAATTCTTATTTTTAATATTTCTAAATTGAGAGAGTTATTTTTAAATTATTATAATTTTGTGAATGTTTTAGGCGGTGTATTTTGTTTGAGATTTTCAAAAACTTTCTAAGATTTAAAAAAACGTGGTGTATATAATTTAAACTTTTAAGGCTTTTAAAAGTCTCGAGGTACTTATTTGAAGTTATAAAAAGTCTTATAATTTTGTAAATGTTGACTTAACAGACCAAAACCCATATCAACGAAATAAATATTGGCATTAAAAGACCAAAATTTGATTTTTAAATATTTAATTAGCAGACCATTTTTTTTATACCACGTGCAGAAAAAGAAAAAATAATGAGAATATTGGCTTAATAGACCAAACTTATTTTTTTTATATCCAACTGTGCCGAAAGAGAAAAAATAATGAGATAAATATTGACTTAACAGACCGAAAACAAATATCAGTAAAATATATATCGACTTNGTCATTATCTCTCCCTTTATATCTGTAATTTTTCTTATTATAAGAGCATATACTTGTAAGTTTTGGTGAGTCTGTTTCTTTGGACTGATTTAGCTTATTTCCAGTATTCAGTGCTTCCATTGAAGTTTTTTTTTTTTCATTCAAACTTGACTCCTAGCATATGCAAAATCTATAAGTTCGAAAAAAATATCAATTCAAAATACAAATTCTAAAAAATAATTATAATGACAATATAATCAAACAAACGACTAGGGGTTCTACATCCCACATGTTAGTTATATAAGATATATTCTTATATTGTAGGCTAAGTTTAGGCAACTTAAGATCGCAACTCATCTATGTATTTATATATGTGTACATGTCTTTATGAAGACAAATCAGATCATTTTCCCACATTCTTACTTTGTTTATTCGAAACTCCTCATCTGCGATTATTATTATGTTGCTCTATGTTGACTGTATGATCATCACGGGAGATGATGTTTTCGATATTTTCGATTTACAGGATTATCTTAGTAAGCATTTTGAGATGAATAGTTTGACCCCATATTCGCTATATTCGATTTACAGGATTATCTTAGTAAGCATTTTGGGGTCGATTTACATGTCTTTCAAAATGTTGATTGCCACGTCACAAAATCGGTGCCACATCAATTTAACGACATGCCATGTCAGCGTCATCTGGCCGGAATATGACTTCGAGACACAATTGCAAAAATTATAAAAAGTTTGGTATTTTTTTGCCAAATTAAAAAGGTGGAGTTTTATTTGCAATTTAAGCAAAGGTCAAGATTTTTCCTGCAATTAACCCAAAATAAAAATAAAAATAAAAAACAAACAAACTTCAATGGAAGCATGAAAATACTGAAAATAAGCTAAGTTTAGTCAAAAGAAACAAACTCACAAGGCGAAAAACAACACGGCAAAAATAGAATGGAATTATCCTTCTTGCGGCTTGTGGCATGCTGACAGGTATTTTGTGACATCATTCCAGGCTGCAGTCGAACAATTTACACCTTCAGATTTACAGAACTTACAGACTTCATATCGGTCACAATAAAATCAAAAGGCGTTTTACCCGGAAAATTACGGAAATCAGGATCGACACCGTTTCCATTAATGTCCATATGATTCGGCGTGACATACTTGCCGATAGTGACCACCACGCCAGACCCATCATTAAGCTCAAACACGGATTGGATCAATCCCTGTATAAAAATATTACCAGCACATTTGATTTTATCAAGAAAG